TAGGCGCATGATACGCCGCGCGACGACACGACAAATTACGATCGTCCTGTCCGTCTACCGTGGAAAGGGTGTAGTCAAGAACATTTTCTCGGAGCAGGAGTGATAAGCAAAGTTCCGAGGCCGAGAATATGTTTTGCGTTGTATTTTTTTACATTTTGTTGGGAAATGGAGGATCTTAACCTAATGGAACTTTTCGTCCTTAAGGCCCTGGTTCAGAAAGTTCTAAGTAGTTATTAGTATCATAGGAAAATATGAATTTCCCAGTAATTTCAAAGCGGAGGTTAACTTGCGCATGACTTTTCCACATTTCCGGTGAACAGGAGGGGGAAAGGAACTTGTTTGTTGCATACTAGGCTGTGTATCGCGTTGACGTTTATTTACATAAAGGCAGTAGTCGTCGTCGTGAATGGCGATGTTTTGTCAATAGCATGTGGGTGTTATTCACAAAGGAATGAGTATTTCAGAGAAAATTTAATTACTGATCGATATCTACGATGCCAAATGGATGCTGACCAATTTGTTCCAATTTCCATAATTGCGGGATTTCGAAAAATTGTTCAACTAACCAGTGATTACAACCTTATATTGCAAGTATTGCGAGGTGAGATTCACCATAATTCAATTCATTTTTTTATTCTAGTTGTTTCTTTTTTAGAGATTGTTTAAAAATTTCACATTTTTGGCATGTTTTTCTGGCTCCAGGCAGGGTCATACATAGTTAAGGAAACCCAATGCAGAACGGGACCGTATCGTTGTCTCGATAAATAGTGAAGTTTGTTTACTCTTTTTTTTCGAAAGAGTTACTGTAAAACTACCATGTGACTCCATATAGGCGGAATCAGGCGCTAAATAACACATTAGAGGGCAAGCGGTACCTAAGTACTGTACAGAATCGCTTCAGTAATGGAAACGAGCAGTTTGCCTAATCAAGCCTATACAGAGGAAGAGTCGGAGTCCGGACCTATTCAAGATACGGTGCTTCTGTTCGATCAAGTTCAATTCACCGAGTGCATAAGGAATCCCTCGACGTTACCCTGGCCATTGTAGTACCATCGCAAAATTCCGTTTGTCATCGATTTGGCAGTAGAAGATAGCTAAATCGGAGGCCTTGGAATGAACAGCTTTAGTACATTCTGGTGCTGGAGAGAGTGTGCATTCGGCCGAGAGCGATTTAATTCCGTTTCAGGCCACTATGTCCCCCCTACCCTGCACACCATTCGGCAGCACAACAATTTTACTATTTTTATCACTTGATCGGAGGTGTCTACCCATACCGGTCTCCTAACGCACATCAGATTTTTGATGGAGACAAAAAGGGGGGGGGTCGGAGTCGTGCTGACGATGAATTTCCTCTTCCGCATGACGTTTTCTGAACGCTACGATTCACCCTGGTTCTAAAGTAAAGTTGAAGTTAGGTGTGAATAGTGGTGCACATCGAAATGGTAGCTCGGGAAAGGTTTCAAAGCCCTTGTCTTCCACAACAACTGCTTTCCTTTAGAGGTCATACAGATGGCGTCTTTTAATAATCGTCGTATATCTTGGAGAAAAATTGGCTCCCACTCAGGACTTTTAGCTTTTGTAAGTAAGAAATACAGGATATATAATGCTCATGTCGAATGGGGTGGGGATGGGGAGGGGGGATGGAGTGAGGGTCGGTCTCAAGGAGATGTTAAAAAGAGTTTTGTCCCTTCCTTTAGTTTACAGCTTTAGCATAGCTGGAAAGGTCTAGATTGAAATCCATGGATTTGTTTTGAGAAAAGATCCCATACAGTGGTCCATCGCGGAACGAAGCATACTGTAGCTCAAATGGAATACACCTTCAATCACTTTCACCACTTTCCATCTGATTGTTTGCGTTCATGTGAACGACATGAATATTTAATACCACTTACGTTTAGAATCGAACCAAGTGGAAGTGGATGAGCGCGGCGAAAAAGTTCGTTCCGTATGCCGACGATGTACCATCATTTTGAGGGAGATTAGTGAAGAGCACAGAGAGGTTCAACGTATAACTGTACTGGTTTTTAGAAAATTGAATAAAATGGTTCTTATTAAGGAAGTGGAGAAGATGCTTACCGGTGGTCCACCTTACGTTGATCTCAAGTATGGTTTGAACAATAGTTGGTATGTGACGTTTGACAATGAGGAGACCACTCAACAAGCATATCTTCACCTTCAAAATATGAATATCACTTTTAATAACAAGCCAATTTGCGTGAGTTTTACTTTACTTTTACTTTTCCCTCCTTTATATGGCATTTTCCTCATCTTTCAACATTGAGTTCCTGTTCCATACTACCAGTTGGTTTTTATTAGAGTGATTCCATCAAAACTGATTCACGATTTTTTTTTGCTGCGGATGCTGGGGAGTGTCAAAGGGGCGAGTTTGGCGCGGCGCCAGCCTTTTCTACCAGTTGTTGTCGCTTCTGTTGTCTGTTGTCGCTCCAGCAGGGTGGCATTCGAAAATGAGGTTGTATCAGTTTGTTCCATAACTCTTTTCCGGATAACGGGCGGGAGAGAACGGAGTGGCCCCGCTTCAGCCCACCCTCCTGCATTCGCCCTAGCATCCGCACCAAATAGAGTTAGCTGGAGTTTTGACCTAGAGTAGTTTGACCCTCCTGAACGTAAGGAGCCAGGCGCCTGTGGCGCAGGTGCCGGGTGTTTAAGCTCAATGGGTCCTTGCGAATTAGGTCAAGCTGCCTTCGGGAACGCAGTCCGGTGAAATTTAGTCACCTAGAGGTTTTTGCATCAAAATCTGGCCTTGCTTTGGAACAGCGAGGCAATAGAAAATAAGTAAAGACGTGTGCGTTCGTTTAAATTTTGATGTAAAAGCGAATTTAGGTTCGAATAAAAGCAGGCGGTCCACCTAGCGACCTTCCGCCGATCGACAGGATGCCTACACAGGTAAACTTTGATCAGAACTTTTGTTTTGTTCCCGTGGAGTTTGCCCATCTTCGTGTTACCGTAATGCTTGTGTTAGTAGACCATTCATACATTCTCTCTCGTAACAAAAGCTATCAAAGCTTCATCGGCAATTTTATGAAATCATGGTGTGATTTGATTTTTGGCCGCTTGTTCTTCGAAAATGCTGTTAGCCCACATTCATATTTGGTGAATACGAACGATCGATTGCCCATCAATCTTTTATCGCCACTTTCTTTCGCACATCCCTAAAAAATCGCCTATTCTTCGCGTTTGCCGGTACGCCAAGTATGAACAGTCTTGAAATATTTTTTGGGGAGTAATTTCGTTGTTATGCCGCGTTTTCCTTCTTTGATACACTGGGAAATAGGGGAAAGAGGGAGATGGCAGTGGCGGGATGGCAGAATAGGAATAAGGGAATTGGAGTTGATCGATTCCTATCCAATCGATGGTACGCATTCTGCAATTCTTTTATTGTTAAGTGTCTATCAACGCAGCCTAAAAAGCAAAATTTTCCCCGCTGAATACCTCGAGACCGCGTTATTTGCAAATCGAATTCACCTCATCACCAGGGTCACAGAATGCTGCCTTCCTGTAGTAACTTCTCATGGTTGTTGCAGAAATTAAGTGTGAATAGCTCAAGCTATCTACTTCGTGCTTTGCACTTTATTTCAAGCGATTTCCCATATAATGATTCTTGAAGTTATTCTCAGCAACTATATATAGAGGTATTCAGTGATGTCAAGAGTGATTAAGAACAGGCGTACTTTTGTTGACGAGCCTGGAGTAAAAGTGTAAATGCCATTGCAAATTATTCAGTAGTAGTGCTCCGAAATAGCTCCGATTCATAACAACTATTGTTATGAGGGTTCTTGTTGCAGATCACAGCGATATCGTTCCCACGCATAGAATGCCCATTTAAGCTGGATGACCTGACCTAGAGACTTGCCACTCAGGTATAAAGTCACGTATATTCAAAAGTAAGTAGTGCCGGGATGCTGGTGGACCAGTTCTAGCACTTTTCTCGAGACAAATGTGCGTAAAGCTGCACTCAGAAGAATAAAGGACTGGGCGTATCGACACAGGAAGTGGATTTGCGTCAAAGAAAGTAGTGGTTTTGATATGGCGTTTTGGGGAGAACACTGGAATCGTCGACGTGATGTTCTGCGCGAATGCGCGCTAAAGGAATAGGTAGTAATCGATGGAATTCAGTTGCTTTCGCCCGTTCTCACGATTCGCCGATTCTCCTATTTCCCAAGTCGCTAACAACCTGAGACGATCGATTCCCATGCATTCCTTTGGCGCATTTTCTCCCATAACGTCGGATCGCCGATTCTTCTATTCTCTCAAGCCGCAAAATACGAGCGCGACTCGAGAGTTTCATTTCATGAGGACACGTGTGTACAGGGTGCAGCATCGCGATGAGTGAAATGGTTGTGTTAGTACGAGCTGCCCTTCCTGAAGGAGGGTCTCGGTACGCCTTTTCCTAC